TGAACTGTTTATCCTTCTAGAGATATTTTCTGCAGGTACAAATATTTGTGCAGATATTATTTTTCTTTCCTTTATCACAAATGATTATTTCATATATATGTATATATCCTATCTACATATCGCATATACATATGGACACCATTTTGCACTTAACTTTTTTTTCTCTTAGTGACGGTTTTAGAAGTGTTTCACATTAATACATCCAGAGCTTCCTCATTCTCCTTTTATGCATTACTAGTACTTCATCCTGTAGATGTATCCCATTATGTTTAAGTGTTTTAGTGGCAAATCAGGGCTGTTGCTGTCTCCTCCTTTCCCACCAGCAACAAGCCCTGGATAGTATCTACTGCTGGGTTCAGGATATGGGGTCAACAGCAGTGGCTGGGTTCATGATGCTGATGGCTTTGAAACAGCTCGTTTGTGGCCCCCCGCAGGTGAAGCAAGAGAGAGAAGAGAGATAGATTCCAGGAATCCTGCTGGCCGGATTCTTCTGCCGGCTTTGGCTGTGGGGGTGGGGTTTGGCTGCCTAGGTACGACTGCCCCATCCCTGTGATATCTCTCCCTCAGGCTGCTGGTGGGAAAAGGCCCTGCTGGAAATTGAAGACATCAAGATCATTCTGATGTAGTGGGATCGGGGAGGCTCTATGGTGATGGTGGCATTTGGCGGGTGTCTTAGCCATGGCTTTTTGATTGAAATTTATAAACACCCATCTCCAACTAGCTCAAGCAAAAAGGAGAATGTGTGGGTTTATGCAGGCCACCAGCTATCTACCCAATTTGTACAAAGACATTTAGGAGTTGTAGCAGATACCACCAGTTACCTACCCAATGTGTATTTCCTCTCAATTATGTCTCAACATGCCCAGTTGAAAATAGCTCTCTGGACTTCCTTGCAGTGAGGGGTGGCCATGTGACCCTTTTCTGAACATCGAGATGTAAGCAGAAGGATACAGGTTGAGATTTCTGGGAATATATTATTTTTTCTGATAAACAGGGATACACTGAATGGGCACATGCTTTCTGCTCTTCCAGTCTGGAGTGTGGATAGAACCCCCAGAGATGCAGCAATCATCTTGGAGCATGAGGAGGGTAATGTGATGAAGGTGGTGGAGCAAAATGGTCTTTGATGTCATCATGCAGCCAGAGCAGCAAAGCTTGTCCACTGGCCTTTTAATCACCTGCTACCCAAGAAACACAAACTCCTTTGGCTAAGCTCTGGAATCAGGCTTTCGCTGCTCACAGTGGAGCGGAGGCCTAGCCCTAATTCAGGGCAACTGAATTCCGGGATTTGTATAGTGTCAATTATCTCCATCTCTTTCCAGTGTATTCTCTCAGAATCCTCCATGGGGCAAGGGACATGGCACCAGCAACTCTGGAATCTACCCTGTCAGCCTCCAATCCAGGGGAAGAAGAAAGCTAGCTACTCCTTTGATTCCAAAATGGAGAGGAAAACTCCCGGGAAGGCATCTGATTAATTTGTCTTTGTGTTGAAGGATCTTCCTTAAACCAACCGCTGTGGACCAGGGGATGGGGTAATATGGTCAACCACATTACCATATCAGCTTACTTGGCAGATGGAGTAGGGTGCAGTTTCCTAAAGGAGGAGATGGAGTATTTTACCAGGAGTGGGGAAAGGCAGGCAGATGAAAACAACAGATGGTTCTTCTGCAGGCGTTGAAGGTTTCGATGAGTGGAGAGGAAAGGCAAAGTGATTTCAGGGGGATGGTCACCTCCTCCTAGAAGCCTTTTCTGACAGCCTGATTTGGCTGCTTCTCTCTCCACCCCATCCACTCTTGCCTCCCTCGCTGTAGTGCATGGCATTGTATATTTCTGCCTCTTCCTGGCACCTTTGAAGGTGGGTACTTCTTCTGGTTGATCCTGTATCCCTCCCTCCCATCACTAGCATGTGGCAGCCACTCATTTTTTAGAGGAGTGAAGGAACAGAAGGAACAAAGACGCAGAGGAGGAAAGTCATGAGAAAGATGTTGGTTTGCTTGGAATCTTGAGTGTATGATAGAAAACCTAGCAAATCCCAAGATTCTTAAGGTGGGTCAGGGTTAGATTATAGCGGGGCCCTGAATGTTAGGCTAAGAAGTGTGTGTGATGGACAGTAGGGAGCCACTGAAATCTTTTGAGCAGGAGAGTGGCATGGTCAGAGCTGCACCTTGTTCCTTTGACTACTGGCTGTTGTCTTGCTTTTCCATTCTCTGGCTTCATAATTCTTTTTGGTCTGGTTCTTCATCTGTCTTGGACATCTTTAGTCCATGTTTCCCACCCCTGCTTTTTTTCTCCCCAAACTTCTTCACCAATCAGTTTTGGGCTGATTCTCTTCTCTGTGCAGGGAAGAGGGCAGTTTTCCCTGACTGGTGCCAAGTGGGTGTCCTTCCCAGGAAGGTTCCATTTGAGCAGCTCTTGGCTGCCCTCTTCTGGGCACTGGTGGATATAACCACCTGCTCTTCTGGAACTGGCTAGAGACTCCTGTTGCAGCCTTGCCTCGTGATGTGACTTCTGTCTTTTTGCATCTGCCCGCCAGATCCCCTTTAATTACTTAAATCAGTAAGAGTTTTTTTCCTGAGTGCCTACCAAGTGTTTAGATTTGTCTGGCGATAGCTACAGACAGAATGCTTCTGACTTCCCACTGATCCAGATATTGTCCATTGTGGGATCTAAGCCTTGCATAAATGTCAGAGTACTTCTTTTGCTAATTTACATGTCTGTCCTATTTATTTGACTGAACCGAGGTCATTTTAGTTTTGAAAGCCATTGAAGAGGTAATGTGTTTGAACTTTATAAATATGTAAAGCTTACATATTTATATTCCCCAGAGAGCATCTTGCCCCATAAATCACACCCTGATGCTTTCATCAAAGTACAGAAGTCTGTGCACTTGTTTTTATTATTCACAATGGAATCAAGGCAATGCCCTAATTAATGATTTTGCTAAGAGGCAATTGCTGTTTCCAGGGAATTTGGGTCTGTAACATGGATTTGAAACCATTCCTGGGGTTTTTAGAGCTCATAAAGTGATGGATACACATCCCAACAGGACAGCTGACTGAATCCTTGGCCTCATTGTGGGTGATAGAAATACTTTATTCTGAATAAGTTGTTTTCCTCAGGCCAAAGGCTAATTGCCTTTCCATTCTGGTGAGCAGGTTCTCACTCAAATGTCTAGACTCTGCAACCTGTAATCCCTCCATGGTGCCAAGACGACATCTTCCTTTCCAGGGTCCACGTTTGGAATTCTCCCATTCCTCCACTTATTCAAATCCAGCCCATTTTTTCAAGACCTATTTCTAATCTCTTTTCTCTGAGATCCCTTCCCTGTATCATGATTTTTCTTTGTTCTGAACACTAACAACTTCTGTAGTTTGTGGTGCTGACTTAGCAAAAGTCATGTATTATCTTGCAACATCTTTTACTTTTTAAATGAAATGTTAATTGTAAATTTTGTACTGTCATTTAACTTTACAAGTTTATGTTCCATGTCTTTAATTGAATCATAAAATCCATAATGCCAGAAATCACATCTTACATTTGATTGTTTACCCCACAGAATGTTGAATATTTATTGCTATATATTCAATAGATGAACAGCAAATGCTCATCTTGTTTGGTGGGTTGTTGTGTCATTTGCGTATCTTAGCTCTAATTAGTATACTTGCCTGAGAAATTATTTACAAAAGACAGATTGGCACAGGCCATCATTAACACTTTTCTGAAATATTGTCATGCATTTAGATGCTTTACAAAATGTATTGCCCAAATGGCAGTGTGTGTCTATGTGTGCACATAAAAAAGAGAAGCCAAATTAAAATCATCCTTTTAATTTATTGTTGATGTGTGATCATTTTAAAATTTAGTTTTAATTTTGATTGGCTTTATATGCATACACAATTTTCAGGGTCAAATAATTTTAGAAGGCATAATGAGAAACAATAAACCCTTCTCTTGATCTGTCATTTCCTGCTTCCTAGAATCAACACATTCAGCTCTTGCAGCTGATTATTTTGATATTGCCTCCATGTCACTGCTATATGCTTATAGTGCTCCTTCTTTTTTGCTGAATGCTTTAAGCATTAACTGTTAGCCTCTCACTCAAAAGTCTAGGCTCTGAAACCTGTAAGCTCTTCATAGTGCCAAGACGACGTCTTCCTTTCCTGGATCCACATTTGGAATTCCCTCATTCCTCCATTCATTCAAATCCAGCCCATTTTTTCAAGACCTATTTCTAATCTCTTTTATCTGAGATCCCTTCCCTGCATCATGATTTTTCTTTGTTCTAAACAATAACACTTCTGCAGTTTGTGGTATTGACTTGGCAAAAGTCATCTTTGGTCATCTTTCCTGTGCCCTACTGAGCTGCTCCAACCTGGACTAGTTTATTTCCATGCTGAAAACATGGCTGTACTTGGATTTCTCTTTGCCTTTGTCTCATCTCATTTTAATTTAGCCCACTTCTACCATGCCCCATCATGCACAATTCCTGACCCCCCTGTCACCGCCATGCTCCCATTATTCCACTACTGTCATTTCCTAATTTTGCTGAGAATATTCAGTGTGTGTATTTTCCTGTCCCTATAAATACTCTTCACAGCTGAAATGTGCTTGCTTTTACTTCCTTGCACAATCTTTAGGTTTTCCTGGTGTTAACTGTTGTATTGTTTTTTCGTCCTTTGTTTTGTTTTCTATAACTAATTCATTCCAAACTTTCTCCTCAGCTGTGTAAATTTCCTCTGAATTCACTCACATCAGATATTGTAACGAGGCCATCTCCTGGTCATCTTTCCTGTGCCCTACTGAGCTACTCCAACCTGGACTAGTTTATTTCCAGGCTGAGTACATGGCTGTACTTGGATCTCCCTTCGCCTTTATCTCTGGGATTTCCTTTCTCTTTCTTGGATTGATGTTCTTATTTCCCAGACTCCACGTCTTCCTCTTTCTTGCTTTACGTCCTCATTTTGAACTTAGCTAGTAGCTTCCTTTTTTTTTTTTTTTCACCTCAAATGGGAAATATGCCAACATCATAACAAGGTTTGAGGGAGGCACACATCTCACGCATGGACATGAACACCCAATTGTCACACGTATGAACTGCAAAAGGATCTCTTGTAGCTTGTTGAGAATGGGTTCACGGCAGGTAATTGTTTTGAGACTTGTGTCTGAAATGTGTGTATCCCATCCAAATATTTAATTGTTAACTTTGATAGGTGTAGAATTCTAGGCTAGAAATGATTTTTTTCCTACAGAATTCTAAAGTCATTGTTACATTATCTGTTTGCTTCTAGTGTGGCTATTGAGAAATCCACAGTCATTTTGGTGTTTTGAGCAATCATTTTTGCTTTTTCTGAAAAGCTTTAAAATTGCCTCTTTTTATCTCTATTGTTCTGAAAGTTTAAGATGACGGAACTTAGCGTGAATTTATTTTTAGCTATTGTACTGACTATTTTACTTATTATCTATTGTATCTAAATGTATCTATTTAGTTATTACCTATTGTACTATTTATTTATCTATTTTATCTGTTTACTGCACCTTTTAAGTCTAGAAACTCATGCCCTTCAGTACTGAGAAATGTCTTGGATTCTTTCTGTGTCTTTTTTCTTCTATTTTTCAAGTCTTGTTCCCACAATTTTAGTTACTTAGTTGATGAGCTCCTAGAATGTTTTTCTGTATTTCTTGTCTTTTGTAGCATATCTTCCATCTCTTTGACTTTTCATTCTACTTTCTAAGGGATTTCCCTAAATTTATCTTCTAACTCTTTGACTGAAATTTTCACTCTGGCTGTGAAATTTGAATTTGTAATTACTCTTTTGTTTTACAATCGTTTTCCTTTTGCTAGAATATTGTTTTTATTTAAGAAATTAGAATAACTTCTCCTTTTGTCTGAGGACGTTGGTAATAGCTTCCTTTTGAAGTTTTTATTCTCTGCAGTGTTTTCTATAAGTTGCTTTCTTTTCCCCTCCTAATATTTTGATCTTTTACAGTTGGCCCTTGAACAATGTGAGTCTTAACTGCCTGAATCTGCTAATATGTGGAGTATCTTCTTCTTCTGCTACCCCTGAGCCAGCAAGACCAACCCTTCTTCTTGCTTCTCCTCCTTAGTGTATTCAGTGTGAAGATGACTAGGGTAAGGACCTTTGTGATGATCCACTTCCACTCAACAAATAATACAAACAATTCTTCTTCCTTATGATTTTCTTCACAGCATTTTCTTTTCTCTAGCTTCTTTATTGTAGGAATACAGTATATAACCACTTTTTTATGTATAAAAAAAGTGGTTAGTGATTGTTTATGTTATTGATAAGTCTTCCAGTCAAGAGTAGGCTATTTGTAGTCAAGTTTTTGGAGAGTCAAGAGTTATATGTAGATTTTCAACTGCACGGGGTTGGCACCCTTAACCCCATGTTGTTAAAGGGCCAACGGTATTTTTCAAGTTAGGGAATTTCCTCGGAGTTCTGGTGATCATGACTAAGGCTTACACTTTGAAATGAGACACTTAAAAGCAAATTAGAAACTCAGAGTGTGTGGGATGGAACTTGTTGACTCTGAATTCATCACTTGTAAGGTGATTTGGCCAATCTGCTTCCCCAAGGGAATTCTACTGCTAGAGCTGCTGTATCTTTTCTTGAAGTGTATACACTTCCTAGAGAGGTGTGCTTCAGTCTCCGGCAAGCAGCGTGTTAAGTCTGGCTTCTTATGCTCTGAGAGCTGAGGTCCTCATATTCAGTGTGTGACCTCTCACTTCATGTTCCTGTGTTCAATACACTGTCCCTGCCCTCAACAATGCCATATGTGCCCCACTATGCTTGATCCTTTCCAGGGAATAAGCCTTCAGCTGGCTAGGTTGGAGAAGGGGCAGGATGACGGACCTGGGGAGGGCCTATCTGCTTCTTAAACACACTTCCAGCCAGTCATCGTGTCAACAGACTCAGCTTTCTACCAATGTCCAGTGGTACCCTGGGATTCTGCAGTGAAAATCAGGCTTGCTCTTATTGTCAGCTTGGGGTTCAGCTTTCTCAGGTCTGCTAAGTGAGTTATCACTGGTTCATCTGCTTTTTAGAGCTCCAGATTTTATTCTTTCATGTTTTTTTCTGGTTATCTTTTTCATTGAGGTTTAATACTTTAAAAAAAATTTCCAGCTGGCCATAGTGGCTCATGCCTGTAATCCCAGTACTTTGGGAGGCTGAGGTCAGGAATTTGAGACCAGCCTGGTCAACATGGTGAAAACCGCATCGCTACAAAAAGACAGAAATTAGCTGGGCATGAGGGCGGGTGCCTGTTGTCTCAGCTACTTGTGAGGCTGAGGTGAGGGAATCACTTGAACTCAGGAGGTGGAGGTTGCAGTGAGCTGAGATCGTACCATTGCACTCCAGGTGGGACAACAAGAGTGAAACTCCAACTCAAAAAAATTTCCTTTGCTGTAATTTTTATCGGAATTTCTGGAGGGAGCAGAAAGAATGTTTATGTTCCATCCACTATTTTTATGTGGAAGTCTATAATATCCTCTGGTAGCATTGAATGATTTTATGGTGAGAGTGAGAAGATGTTTTAGCATGTAGCTCAAGAGAAATGGGAACATTTTCAGAGTTGATAACAGATGTAGGAAGTTGACATGGCTGCCCATCATTCTCTCAGAGCAAAGCAGAGATCCTTGGGGAGAATTAGAGAGAAGGATGTCTTGAAAGCTTGACCAAAGCTTGGATTCCATTTTATACTTAGAGAAAGAGAATGAGGGATATCTCTATTTAGGTAGTAGTGCAGCGGTGACTTTGTGAGACTCTATGCCAAGAACCCAGTTCATATTTATAGGAGAGCTTGAAAGCTGCAGGTCGTCAATTCCTAGGCAGGTAGCAATGCCAGGGCCCCTACAAACTTACCGTAGTCAGGTTTTGACTTTTACATTGTGACCAGCACCCATGGATCATTGATTTCTTTTTCAGGGTTGGGCTGGGGTAGGGACTGTAGCCATGGGATTTACAATGTCAGCAATTTTACTGATGCTTTTTTTTTGGGTGTCATGCGTTGTGACTTGCTGAAATGGTTAGGGAAGAGGTTTATATAATAGTCTCCTAATTAGCACCACAATGCTGGAAAAGGAGAAGAATAACATTATATCAAGAGACCATGGGCCATTTAAAAAATTTATCGAAATTCATAACTGCTTTGAAGTACTGCCACCACCACTACCACCACTGCTACTGCTTATATTTTAAAAAATTTATTTATTATACTTTAAGTTCTGGGGCACATGTGCAGGTTGTGCAGGTTTGTTACGTAGGTATACACATGCCATGGTTTGCTGCATCCATCACCCTGTCATCTACATTAGGTATCTCTCCTAATGCTACCCCTTCCCAATTTCCCCACCCCCTGCTATTCCTCCCCTAGCACCCCAGCCCCCAGGTTCCAGTGTGTGATGTTCCCCTCCCTGTGTCCGTGTGTTCTTATTGTTTAACACCCACTTATGATGAGAACATGCAGTGTTTGGTTTTCTGATCTTGTGTCAGTTTGTTGAGAATGATGGTTTCCAGTTTCATCCATGTCCCTGCAAAGGACACGAGCTCATCCTTTTTGATGGCTGCGTGGTATAATGGCTACTATGTATTAAGCACCTGTAAGGCTTCTGGCACCCTTCTAAGTAATGGGCATACATTCTCTCATTTGATTTACATACAAAAATATATGAAGTATCATTTGCACAGTCAATAGTTAAGTGAATGACAATAACTAACACTTATTGAATCCCACTAACACATATCCCACTCAATCTTCAAAGTTCTTCATATGCATAACTCATTACAGCCTCATAATAGCTTTATGAAATTAGTTCTTCATAATCACTATTTAATGGATGAAGAATCTGAGCCTCAGAAGGTTACAGAACTTCTCCAAGGTCAGCTCTGGCAGATTTGGAGATGACTCAGGTTTGTATTACTCTTCCTGCCCTACAAATAAGAGAAAGTGCCTGGATTCAGGAGGGGAAAAGCAGATACCATATTTTTGGGAAATGATAATAGAAAAAAGAGGTAAAGGCCACCAGAGACACAGTTTTCTCTCTCAGAGATTGGCCAAAAATTTGCCTGGTATCTCAAAGAGGATAATATATCAATAATCCTAGGATCCTAGGTAATATTTCCATAGTTCTTTGTTGTTTAGAAGGCATACTTGCAGCTGCAATCTGATTTGGTCCTCACAATAACCCTATAAAGTAGAAAATTCAGGGACTGCTGTCTCCATTTTACAGATGAGGCAACTGAACTCAAAAATTGAAATAACTTTCCCACATTCATGCTAAGTGTGAAAATCTCAAGCTTCGTTCATTTATTTGTTCATTCAAAAGAAACATACTTTTTTGAAGCCTACCATGTACCTGGCAGTGTTATAAGTTCTAGGAATTTTAATAGTGAATAAGAAAAAGTTCCTGTCTTTGTGAAAGTTACATTCTAGGAGGAGAGACGAACAACAAACAGAAAGATAACTGTATAATACATTATTGGGTAGTGATAGGTGGTATGAAGTAAAATAAAGCAGAGGAAGGAGATAGCACGTAGCCATACGGGAAGAGGAAACGGACTATTTTAAATCAGCTATGCAGGGAATCTTCTCGGATGGGCAACATTTGAGCAGGGGCCTGTTGGAAGTGAGGGAGTCAGCCATACAAGTATCTAGAGGACAAATATCCCAGAGGGTACAGCAAATACAAGATCCCTGATGTTGGAATGAGGTTGGCATATGCAAGAAACAGAGAGAAAGCCAGTGTGGATTTCTCAGTGTCAGAAAAGAGTGAGAGGAAGGGAACTAGAGATGTGGTCAAAGTGGCAAGCTAGAACTCAACCCTAAAGGGGCTTATGGACAAGATGAGAAGGCTGGATCTCATTCTAAGTTAGGTGGAAGTCTTTGGAGGACTTGGAGTAGGGAAATGACATGATCTAATTTACCCTTGCAAAATATTCCTTCGACTACTATGTGGAGAATTTCCTGGGTGGATGTTGGGGAGTGTGGTGACATGGAAGTAGAAAGTCAAGTGGGTGGGTGTATTCATCAGGATGGGCTGAGTAATGCCATGGGAACAATATTGCATGTTGGCAGGTCTGTTCCACATT